AATGAACACTGAAACACTAATTACCATTCTGACCCACTGTGGCCGAGTCCAAGAATAGTGAACAATTAATTTCTTTCTTAGCAGAAAATTTCTCCTAACAATTATCTGGAGCACCACATGATATCAACATGTATCACTCAGTGTGTGACAGAAGTAAAAAAGTATGCTGATATTAAAACTTCTTCTACATGTGCAGGCGTAAGTATACATGTATATCTTTGCAAGTACACAGTAGAATATCATTAACAAGATGACATTATGATCTATATACTGTTACCAATGAATTTAGATTTATAATTTTTTGGTAGAAAAATGTCAACCTTTAATACTCTATTATGGAGAATTTACCTTTGAATGCTGACTTGATTATCGGTACAGACTTAAGTTTGGAAACTTGGACCGCAGACTACGATTTTACCATCGGTCCTAGTGTCTTTACCGTGTTTCTTCATTTTCCTTGCAACACTCCAACACTGCAACAGCGAACAGGTAGCAGATATATCTGGTATGTAAACCGTCTTTCCATAGCGCGTTTGAAGCATGTTGGAAGCCTGACCATGCAATCTTTGATCTCCAAAATAGTTTCCAAAATTTGTCTCTTCTCAAATTTCAATTCTTTCACTTTGTACTAGGGCAAAATTTCAGTTAATGCATTTTCTAAGTTGTTTTTATTTCTACGTCGCCATCTTCAACATATTCCTAGGTCGCGTTCGTAAGGAGCATTCTGATTGGTCGATATAAATACTTTCTGGGGTCAAATATTACGTTTTATAAGGTCACAAAAGTGAAAGATATTACGGTAGTTGTTAGATCCTCGTATGTAGTATAACGTAGTATAACAAAATCCGAGATCTATATTTTAATTAGATTGACAAAGAAAATACATGTAACTGTATTTCAATTTGCAATGTACTTTCATAATTAATTTAAACGTTATTTTTAATAAACGATATTTTTTTCGAAAACTCCTCGTTTTTTAGATCCATTCAAGAACGTATAATAGATTATATACGTCCTTGGTCTATTCTAGACGTAAAATTTTAATAAAGTGCAAGAAAGACTTCTTTTTTAATTTCAGTATAAAAAAATGAATTAGCCTGCTTTGTACATCATGTACATCTACCCTAGACTCAAAATCTTAAATGAAATGCTAGTAATACTTCTTTTATAGATTTTAGTTTTAACGATTCTCGTTCGGAATATAAATCGCATTGTTTACATGAAATCTTATCTCATATCTAAACACAGCTGGTTTCAACGTTCGACTTTAATTAAAATAAGTACGCATATATGTAGGTAAATATTAGCAGCTTGTAATTGCGTGCAAGGAAGTATTCAAATGCTTATTAAAGTAGCTTGCATCATAATATATTTCTCATCATATGTAACATATCTCTATAGCAACTTAAGATGCTAATGCTTATTCAACAGGTCAATTAATAAGCTATTGCGCATGAATATGAAAGGTGGTCATAGAAAGAACAGATGTATTCCGAATAACATCCTGTGTTCCGAAAGACTACGGACATCGTCCAATATATACTGCGTAAACCCTCAGGGGTTCACGCAATAACGATTAAAGGCATTTGCTTTATCCTTATTATCGTTTAAGTAGGTATCATTTAATAGGATAGGGGGTAGTCTGATGATTTGGAAGGAAATCCAGCCAGGTTACGCATTTTTTTTCCCACCAATTCTTAATGGAATCTACATGTGAATGCAATGATTCACATTGTTTTTCAAAATAATGGGTTTTTGCTAGTTTAATCAAGTTTACGCATTCAATCCTAATTTTCTTAAAGTTTGCCCAAGACTCAGGAGTATTCAATTTGTATTTTTTGGCTTTTTTGTGCGAATGTTTCCGTTTACGAATTTGTCTCCTTATAAATGACGTCATCCAAGGAGGATCTTTCGTGCGAACAACAATTAACTTACTTGGTATATGCTTGTTAGCAGCATCTAGATTTTTTTGTGATTTTCTGATGATGCAACGGCTTTTGCAGTAATATTATAGTCTAAATGCTCGTTTAAAACGTTTAAAACGAGACCAATATAAGTATAATTACTTGAAAACTTAATACTATGCCCATTACAATTAAAAATTTCATCAGATCTAGGTATAGATGGCGGTCTAAAATGTACAATGTTACTCTTGTTTGCATTAATTGTCATACAATTGTCTTCACACCATGTAGATAAAGCATTTAACAGAAGTTGTAGCTCTTTGTCATCGTTTGCTATTATAACAACGTCATTAGCATATAATAAAATACAGTTTTTCATCACCTATATTTCTATTCCGCAGTCAAAGAACTTAAGAAATGTAACTAAATCATTAATATAAACAATTGAACAAAATGGGCGACAAGGGACGTCATTGTTTCAAGCCACAGTTTACATCAAACCAGTCTGTGAAATGGCCGTTTATTCTTACAGAACATAAAACATTTGTATAAATTGACTTAATAGCAGAACAAAAAGTCTGCGCAACACCAATTCTATTTAGTTTAAAACATAAAATATCTCTTTGTATAGTGTCGTAAGCCTTTTTAAATCAATAAAGTCGCAAAAGGTTGATTTAAGAAGCTTTTTTCTTACATCAATCAAATTAGTGAGACTAGATAATTGTTCAATTGTACTACTTTGTTGCCGGAAACCATTCTGCTCGTCAGCCAGTACATTGTTGTCATCTACCCATGGAGCTAATCTATCGTTCAGTATATTACAGTACAATTTGTAAGACACTGCGTCTGACATGTTAGATTTAGGGATAGGATTTGTAATAATTCTATTCCATAGATCGGGAACATTACCATATCTAAAACAAATATCAAATAAATGGTATAGAAATAGAGCTGAACTCTTGTTAACACCCCCAAGTCATGTCAAGAGTCAGAATTATGTAGAATTATGTAGAAATTGACAGATGAACCAGAAGATACTCCTAGATGATATCTGTTTTGTGGATCATTTTGATTTCATAATTGTAACTGTTTTCGAGGTAATAAGTGGTTTTTGGTTGTAATGAATTACATGCATGAGCTTTTGCAAAATAAACGTAGTAAGCTTTAATTGAAAACAACATTTATCATTTATTGCTGAGGTTGAATGTCACCCGGCAAGGTAACTACTGTAACTCTAACGGAATTTGTATTGATCTTGTATAATAGAACAAGTGTTTGAAAAACGCCAATTTTCAGAATTAATCTATTACTATTGGTAATAAGTTCCTTTTTTTTTTTTAATTTTTCGAGATAATTCATTGTCAATTGCTTTGAAAAAAAATGTCTGTATCTGAAATCTGACACAAAATGCTGCCTATATCTTTCAATTCTGAAAATATAGAAGGAAAAAAAAAGAAAACAGTATGTTGATCTTTGACCTTAATTTATGCAAAACTGTTACCACATTTCTTTTTGACGACATCGATACTCCAAAAGTACTCATTTTGCCGAATCCAATGATATGTAATATAGCCATATAGTCTGCTTGACGATTAAATTTTTAAAAAATCTGGTCTGGTCACCGTACTAAAAGTACAAAAAACAAATAACAAAAACACAAAAGATACAAAGTACAGATCTGAGAGAACTAGCAATAACTAAATGCAAGTTAAAGTCAAAAACATACAAGACTAGTATATCAATCAGTACACATTCAACTTCCAATGGATGCCATTTTGCCTTTTTTGTGATTTAAATATAGTATAATCAGTGACACTGCTTCCATGATATTTCATGCAATATATAGAAAGGGATGGATAACAATAAAATCATCACTATTGAGGCCCCTCATGGGGGTGTCCAAGTAATAACATAATCACACATGTTTTGCCTATATAATCACATAATCATTGATTACTTTTGTAAACAACATAATCAAATAATCAAAAATACAGTCGTAGATTATCAAATAATCATGTAATAATAATAACTATAAAACGGCCAGGTAATCACATAATCAAAAACCCATTAGGAGGCTCACTAATGTCAGGAAATAGCAGAAGTTGACAGACGTTTATTGTGTTAGACTGTCCTGCTCTTGACAAAGTAGCTGAGTTATATCTAATTTTAAAAGTGTTATTTTTGTTGTTTTCTTGCCTTTCGCGTTGCTTTGATATTGCGATTTTTGTGATTTTGAAGTTCTAAATATTCACATATTAACATATAATAACTTTATTGCAAAACATGAAACCCTGGCGGGTTAAAATGCAAACATAGTACATTGTATACACAAGTGACAAGAAACATAATACATGATAAATGTTTTAAACAAGTCCAGTTGATATTAATAATATATATATCAGCAGGGTTTAAGAACATCAGTTGTTCGACCTGTTAGTTAAATGCGTTTTGTTAAAATAGACTTTTTCACTTTTTTTGGTCTTTTGGAAATTGTTGTTTGTGCTGTATTTAGACCCCTCTACCAAGAAATTTGTTTTACATGCACACGTATAAAAATTGCGGTTTTTATCCAACGCAATCATAGGTTTGAACGTTGGTTTCAATTTAGACTTTTATATATATATAAAATAATTGACCAATGTGGACCTTATTTTCGCAATTCCATAGATTGCTTTATATTGTCTACAACACTAGACAAAATATCTTTATTGGGATCTAGAATAGTTTTAAGTTTAGAGTTTGAGTCAAGCTGGTTAAAATTAGGATAATGGGTTTTAATTGCATTTATAAGGGAATGTCTTATATTACCGTTAATTTGGCCAACTGTACTGCACCAGTAAACTTAAGATGCATTTTGATTTTTTTTCTATTTTACAATTAAACTTTCAATCAATAATCCTGTTTATCTAATAAATGTGCTTCGGGGGCTGAAGCAACTCATTTATAGAAATTCTTTGTTATCAACCGTAAAAACGCATAAACAATAGGATTATCCGACTTATATTAAGAAACAATAAATTCTACACTTTCATTGGTCGAGAGCACTTTACTATATTCTATAGGTTAATTACCTCCAGCACGCACCGTGTTATGTCAACATTTCTATAAATGTAAACAATGTTATCTACCCGACCATAAGAAAAGGTAATGTAAAGACACACAAAATGTCTACCTGTTCAAAATTGTGTATCTATTTGACTTATTTTTCAAGTGTTACAATTACTTTATCACAAACTTTAAACAATTCTACAAATCCTACGGTGAATTGTGTTGCCGAACTTTCACACAAGGAATTATGGGTGAAAGAAGATTTTCCTAATCCTCAAATTGATATTAATCGATGCGGAAGACATTGTAAGAAGTCATGGATCTGTGACCCTAATAAAGTTTTATCTAGTCAACAAGGTAAGATGTACTCAAACTTGTATAAAAAACAGGTTTACGGACAGAGTAAAAAATGTAACTATGAGATATGGCATGTGTTTCTGCAAAACAGTCAATAGGTTCGCTCGAATACATACCAACGTTTGGAAATATAAAAATATATAAAGTTGGAGACTAACCCCCCAGGGGTAGTTGAAAACTTAGCAACATAATATGTATTTCCGATAATCTTAAATATACTCAACTATCGTTTGAATCGAAATCTTGCACAATAATTTTATATTAAGTAAAACAAACAAAAAAATTATTGATAAACAAACATGCAAAAGTAAACGCTGACTAAATCTTGTCGTTTCAATCAAGATATTTTTTAAAATGTTCAAGGTGCAACATCACTACCTAGCGTGTTTCTTATTACATAACCGTTTATATACTTGTTTACTTATTGATTAATCTTAAAATGTGTCTCAACACCTTTGATCTCGCCCGTACGGATTTAAGAAATTCAAATTAAAAAGTAGAATGATGCATTGCGTTTTCTCAATTAATGTGCTGCTAAATTCTGCTTGTTATTTTCTTTAGAAATCCGTTAAGTTGCACATCTTTCCGGCTCAAACAACCAAATCAAAGGAGAAGGTCCGGTAAGGGCTTATTTTGGCCTAAAATTCAAAGTACATCTGATGAAAGATTTTTGACATTTTTTAAACAGTTCAGTGTCTTCTTCGGTCGATTCAATTAGTTTATGTAAAAGATTTGAACTTATTTGGTCATTAAAGACGTCTAAATTCCAACTTAAAAATGAAAAATCTATCAAATACAATGTATGCCGCAAAACGTCACTTTTCTGATGGTTTTTTTTTTATCCAAAATGGAAGTGGCCGCATTCGTTTTCAGTCTAAACCTTTATATATGTTATGTATCATCATCAAATACAACATGTATTTAAAAATTAAAAAAACACAAGTGCGGTCACTTCCATTTTAGACAAAAACCGTCTAAAAATTAGCGCAAATGCTAAAATTTTGAAGATTTCATTAGTTTTGCATTAATTTATGATGCTAGTAACTGATGAATGTGCAGTGTAATGTTAAAAACAGCCTATATTTATGTTACAAAAGTATTCTTCTTTTCAATGAATAGCTAAAAAAAAATCATTTTTAACAAATTTTTGAAATGCTATATTTTGGGGCCAAAAAGGGGTCTTACCAGGCCTACTACCCCTTTGAAGAATGTCTAGAGCCTTTTACGTCTTCAATTATTTGTCCATTGCTGTTATCAAGGATTTGTATAGTGAGACTTTACAAATCCTTGCTGTTATATATATCATGATCATTGCAACTGTCCAACAGACAACTTTGTGTGTATGTGTGTAGTATATTTAACGTATACAAAACTTGTTTTACCCCGCCACATTACACATATACCTGTCAAAAATAATTAGTAATAAAGATTTATTTAATAATAATATCGGGTATACATATAACCAATGAACTGTATATTTGAAATGAATGGAAACGCGGCCGACTTCAAAGAGAATTGTATGATGCATCTCTGTTTCGGGCGATGTGTTAATTACACTCTGTATCTCTAACTGGCTAATTACTTGTCTTGTATTAGTTATCGAACTTGGCCATTTAGTCTGACGCCGTTTATTGAACTTACTAGCGGTCACTAGTATAATATAAAGATACACTAAAAGAGTGATCTACAAAGGTATGCCTTCTGGGTGGCAGACTTTCAATTTGGGTATAAATATTTTCCCAAGAAAATGGTAATTGCTCAGGTTAATTGCGTTGTTTTCAAAAGGTCATATAGGGAACCCGTACGCAAAAATGCAGTTGCGTACACATCGAAAATTATTTTCTGCATAAAATGGTCCAAAACTTTTTCGAATCGCTCCGATCGGCGAATGGTACCTACACTTAACTACTAGTCTAGCTACGCCCCCTGGTGCTTGCCTGTTTATGCAAACCGTACATATAAACGTATAGACCGCTAGATTTGTTTTTGCTTTCACCCTCATTCAACATCTTATTTCGCCCAAGTTTGATAGTTTCCCTATTGCTACGCTTATTTGTACCGAATACACAGCGTAGCTACAGAAGATTTTTACTTCTCTCCTTTTATCTTATTCTACTTTTTAGTTTTTTATACAAACAACTCTGACAATTATCAACTTTTTAACAGAATGTAACTTTATTGAATGTCGGCTTTGTGCTATAGTATTTTATATTATTTATCACGAAAGGATTTTAACGTGTTTCAGCGGATGAGCTTGATTCTATCATTGAGACAGTTGCCGAATCAGGAAAATGCAGCTGCAAAAACTGTACCAGCACGGATGGATACAATATTGCACTCGCACTTGTTCCGTCGATTAAGGCTTCTAAAACGTGAGTATTGACTGTGCTATATTCTGGAAATTAGTTGAAACCATAGCTAATTCCCCGGCATTTGAACTTATTGTGTGAATGTATGTAATGCTGCATAAATGTTTACTTAAACCATTACATAAATGTTTACTCAAATCATTATATAAATGTTTACCTAAACCATCACATAAATGTTTACTTAAACCATCAGATAAATGTTTACTTAAACCATTACATAAATGTTTTATACGGTTCCATCAATTCATTTGCCATGTGTGTATAAGTGACAGAGCATGGCTAACAAATAAAATTTACACTTTATAAATTTGGTGCATTCGAGAAGCTTTTCATTATTGACTTTCATCAAGAAGGCTAAAAAAAAAAAAGATTCAATCTTAGGATATATAAATACTTGAAAACGTGGATAGCTACACGATAAAAAATATAGATCGCAAAGCACTGACTACCGAGTGAAAATTGGATTATCTCCCCTTTGTCAGTTAACACGATTCAAATGTAAAGTAATGCCATTACATGTAAATACATTTATCCTGCAATCAGCCATGTATTGTACAAATAACAAATATACAACAAATATACAAATAATGTTTTGCTTTATGTAATATATTTGCTATTTAATAATACAATCCAGTTTCTATAACTAATTTATTAACAAGTACATCGTTTGATGGTCAGACTACAGAATGACAACATGTGTATAAGAACTTCAATTGATCTATTTAATTATGTTTATTTAAGAACGTGCAGACATGTGAGAGTTGCTGATCTGTCAATTATAATTACTGTAACAGATGATACGGTAATAAAGTGCGGTGAACTTTATAACACTTCTCCGGCCTTAGATAAAAACAAATTAAAAACAAATTAACTCAATTACAGAAAATTAATATCTTTTCACGGCTACTGATTGATAAGTCCATATCAGTTTGAAAACAAATAAAAATGTCAGATCACAAAGATTCATTCGTTAAAGTTTGTCTGCACTGAAACTATAATGTCCTACTAAGAAAATAAAATAAAAATGTTCGCACTGGTCTTGTTGTTATTTCTTACACTAAAAGATATGTACACACATGCACTGCGAAGTACTTAATGCAATTCAAACGGCTGTGAGGATTATTATGCCTCTTTATAAATCTACACTTTAATTCAACACAAAATCCTTAAAATGCGATGGTTCTTTTCTTATTCTCTTCGGATAGCGTGGTTCCATTTGTTCAGTCATGTTTGACGGTTTCTCGATTTGCGGTTGTTCGGTCTCAGGAGTACTTATCGGTATAGTTATTTCTGGCTCAAACAATTCACTGTCATTGTCACATTTTTCTTCCTTTTCGTTGTTTGTGCAATCAAAGTTTCGTACTCTGATGTGATCAATATGTCTACGAATGACACGTCCATCTGGCAATTTGATATGAAATGAAAGTGGTCCTGATTGTTTTATAATTTCTCCCTGAATCCATTTAATCTTTGAACCAATTGCGAAATTTCGGGCAAATACTCCCTGTCCTACATTAATTTGTCTGTTCACAGATTTCTTGTCGTGATAATGTTTTTGTTTTTGTTGTCTCTCCTGAACTCGCTTCTCGATATTTGGAAAAACTAAATCTAGACGTGACTTGAGTTTCCTTTTCATCAGCAATTCTGATGGTGCCAATCCTGTCGTTGTTTGTGGCGTTATACGGTAGTTGAAAAGAAAACGGTTCAACTTTTCCTGGACAGTTCCTTCTTTGATTTTCTTCATACCTTCTTTGAAACTCTGAACTGCTCGTTCAGCACAACCATTACTAGCTGGATGCCACGGTGCGGAAGTGCGATGTTCAATTCCATTTGATTTCACATAATCGGCGAATTCCTTACTAGTAAATGCGGCTCCATTATCACTAATAATGAGATCACATAATCCATGTGTTGCAAACGTTTGTTGAAGTTTTGCAATCGTAGCCTCGGATGTTGTAGAATTCATGACGTGTATGTCTATCCATTTTGAATACGCATCAACCATAATTAGAAATGATTTGTTCATGAATGGTCCTGCAAAGTCTATATGTATTCTTGACCACGGATGGCTCGGATATTCCCACGGATGTAACGGTGCTTCTGCTGGTAATTTTCGGTTTTCCTGACAACTGTAACAGTTAACTACAGTTAATTCCAAGTCATTGTCCATTCCCGGCCACCATATATAGCTTCTTCCTAGACTTTTCATTCTAGTAATCCCTGGATGTCCTTGGTGTAATTCATTTAACATGGCCTCACGTCCTGGTTGTGGTATAATTACTCTTCCTCCCCACAATATGCATCCGTCCTGACTACACAGTTCATTTTTTCTACTATAATACGGTCTTAAGTCTTCACTGGGACATTTTGACGGCCATCCATTCAAAATGTATCTAAGCACCATAGACAGTATTGTGTCCTTGCGTGTCCACTTTTGAATTTGTTTAGCATCTACTGGCGTAGTGGCTAAATGTTCCATTAATAATATAGTATCACCAGGCGTTGGTGTCTTTTCAATGTTTGTTTTTAGCGGTAGTCTACTTAGTCCATCCGCATTACCATTCAGACTCCCTTCTTTGTATACAATCGTGTACTCATATGCAGCTAAAGTCAGTGCCCACCTTTGAATTCGAGATGCGGCCATTGTCGGTATAGGTTTATCTTCTCGAAATAAACCTATAAGCGGCTTGTGATCGGTTATGATTGTAACGGGGTGTCCATACAAATATTGATGAAATTTCTTGATACCAAATATTATGGCCAGACTCTCCTTCTCAAGAACGGAATAATTCTTCTCTGCAGATGTAAGTGTTCGAGATGTATAAGCTATTGGTTTGTCACTGCCGTCGTCCATTTTATGCGAAAGTACGGCCCCTACTCCATACGGAGATGCATCACATGCTAAGATTAATTTCTTTTTCGGATCGAAATGTACAAGTACTGATGCGGATTTCAACAGCTGTTTTGACTCTATGAACGCTTTTTCCTGTTCTTTTCCCCAACTCCATTTTGTGTCTTTCTGTAGAAGTACATGTAGCGGCTTTAACAAGTGAGACAAATTCGCTAAGAATCTATTGTAATAGTTCAGCATTCCAAGATAAGCTTTCAGTTCTGTCACGTTTGTCGGACTCGGGGCTTTATCGATCGCCTCAACTTTACTCTCCACTGGATAGATTCCGTGTTTGTTTATTTTAAATCCCAAATAGACAACTTCTTCGGCCATGAACACACACTTCTGTTTCTTTAACCGAATTCCGATTCTCTTAAATCTAGACAAAACCTCAGAAAGAGTATTTAGATGTTCCTCCCTTGTTTTACCCGTTATCAGTATATCATCTACTCGAACCAAAACATTGGATATACCTTGAACAACATTTTCAAGTGTTCTCTGGAAAATACCTGGGCTGGACGCTACACCATACGGAAGTCTATTGTATCTGAATAAACCCTTGTGCGTGTTTATAGTCACATACCTTTTACTGTCCTCATCAAGTTCAATTTGTTGGTATGCTTGATTTAAATCCAATTTTGTATATTCTTGTCCTCCTCCAAGCGTTGCGTATAAATCCTCAGTTTTAGGAATCGGATAATTATCCAACTTTGAAACGGCATTAACGGTTACCTTGTAGTCACCACAAATTCTAATAGATCCGTTCTCCTTAACTACAGGTACTATTGGAGCGGCCCAGTCGGAATATTCCACTTGCTGAATTTGACCCTCCTTCTCAAGACGTTCAATTTCCATCTCCACTTTATCCTTCAACGCATACGGCAAAGGGCGAGCCTTGAAATATTTCGGTACAGCACTCTCATCAACATAAATCTTGGCTTTCATGCCTTTTACAGTTCCAAGTTCATCTTTGAAAACCTCCTTATTTGCTTCCAAGATCACATTTAAATCACTCGGTTGATTATCAGTTCCAACGACGGAGAAAATATCCTTCCAATCCAGTCGGAGTTTGTTCAACCAGTCTCGGCCAAGTAAATTCGGACCTTTACGCTTCACTATCAGTATTGGCAATTTTGCGCTTTCCTTCTTGTAATTGACATTGACGATTGCACGTCCTATTACAGGAATCTGCTCTCCCATGTATGTTCGGAGTTTAGCACTGGTCGGTTCGATTCTGAATTTAGACTTGTATTCCTTGTAAGTATCCTCGCTCATGATAGAAACTGACGCTCCGGTATCTATCTCCATGGCTATTTCACATTCATTCACATTGAGTTGCACTTTATATGCCTCATTAGATTTATTTCCAAAATGAAAAACTGAGTAAGCTTCATTTTCACTTTCACTTTCGCTACTTTCATCCTGCTCCATGAAATGAGCACGTGGTTTAAAACGTGATTTGAACTCTCTGTGATTTTCACTTAAATTCCCATTGGCAGATTTGTTACGGCATTTCTTTGCGATATGTCCTTTCTTTTTACAACTGTGGCATTTTGCATCCTTAAACCTGCAATCGGCGGCTAGGTGATTTCCTCCACACCGGTAACAATCTCCTTGTTTCGAATTTCCAGAGTTGTTTCTTGTATAGGATTTTGAAACTTTGTTGACTTGTTTCTGAAATGTTGCATTTGTCCCACTCGCTTGGATGTCTTGTGCGTTCTTCTCAGCAGTCTCCATAGCGGTAGCAATTTCCAATGCCTTGTCAAAAGTTAAATTCGGCTCTGCTAATAGCCTCCTCTGTATGCGGTCACTCTTTATTCCGACGACTAACCTGTCTCGTAACATCGCGTTTAACGTGTCACCATAATTACAGTGTTCCGTCAGACTTCTTAGTGCTGCAATAAATGTCCTCACTGACTCATCGCTGTGTCTTGTTCTACTGTTAAATTTAAATCTTTGGATAATTTCTGATGGTACTGGATCTCGGTGGTCTTTCACTAGTTTTGTTAAATCGGCCAGTGATTTCGTTCCTGGTTTGGCTGGTGCTAAAAAATCCCTAATTAATTTGTAGGTATTCTTCCCACATACACTTAAGAAAATATCCCTTTTCTGGTCTTCTTCGTCTATCTCGTTAGCATTAAAATAATGTTCCATACGTTCTACATATTGTGTCCAATCTTCGGATTCATCAAAAGAGTCTAATTTCCCGTAAGTCGGCATTGTTACGTGTAGAAATTCACATTTATCTTAATATTCAGTTTTTTCCTCGTCGCCAAAATGTGTAATATATTTGCTATTTAATAATACAATCCAGTTTCTATAACTAATTTATTAACAAGTACATCGTTTGATGGTCAGACTACAGAATGACAACATGTGTATAAGAACTTCAATTGATCTATTTAATTATGTTTATTTAAGAACGTGCAGACATGTGAGAGTTGCTGATCTGTCAATTATAATTACTGTAACAGATGATACGGTAATAAAGTGCGGTGAACTTTATAACACTTTATATGTGATTGTACCAATGAAGTCTCCTGTTACCCCGCTTCCATGTTGAGACAGCCGTAATATGAATATTTCTTATTGTGTAACAGTTCATTTTGAGGCCCTCTTCGCGGTCCGCGTTTAAACTTTGTCGATTTCTTTGAAAAGAGAAAAATATTTGGGTTCAAACAATGAAAGTTTCCGGATGTAAATTGCTTTTTAGTCCTGTTTCTGAAGTTCGTTCAAATAAATTATATACTTTCCGACAATATACATATATTGTATATATCCTTCATTTATCATGCTTTACCATAAAATCAGGCCGTTATATCATAAATCTGTTCAATGTTATATCTGACCTTGAGCAATATCTAATATTAACATTGTATCTAATACATGTATGATATGTCCGATACTTATATGATAGTATAATATGTAACTTTCCGGACATCTCTCTATGACGCCTTTCAAGGATAAATAAAATGAAATGACACAATGACCAATCAAAGCATATTTTCATTACTTGGATAGTTATAACTATGTTAATATAGTTTTATTAAATGGGTGTTTGTCGTTTGTTGGTGTGGTTCATAAGTGTTTCTCGTTTCTCGTTTTTTTTTTATATAGATTAGACCGTTGGTTTTCCTGTTTGAATTGTTTTACACTAGTCTTTTTGGGATCCTTTATAGCTTGCTGTTCGGTGTGAGCTAAGGCTCCATGTTGAAGGCCGTACTTAGAACTACGATTGTTTACTTTTTACACATTATGACTTGAATGGATAGTTGTCTCATCGGCACTCATACCACATCTTCTTATTTATGTTTAATATTGATATAGTTATTATCAACCTCTTCACAGGGTTTCGGCTACTATAATACTCGTAGGAGGTAAATATTAACCAATCCGTTGATCCAGCTTATTTGCTGTCTTTGAATTTGGTTTTGCGTCGTTGGTTTAATGTCTTTTGGTTTTTGTGTCGTTGGGTAAATGGCTTTTGGATTTTGTGTCGTTGGGTACATGCCTTTTGGTTTTTGTGTCGTTGGGTAAATGCCTTTTGGTTTTTGTGTCGTTGTTTAAATGTCTTTTGGTATTTGCTTCGTTGTGTTAGTGATTTGATGACAAATAAGGCACACTTCCTTTTATTTATATGAACTGGTTGATATTGATTTTTATAGGAGTCTAAAAGATACAGCAGCTATGGAGTTCACTCAATTCATACGAGTTAACTGGAACTTTCAGAAATGTGACAACGATATTGTTATATTACTATCAAAAGATGACAGAAAGGTAATAGAAAATAACAGATGATGAATTGTCGGTTGTTTAACGTGTAGTGGCAAATACTTCGTTCATTTTAAGACGAAATAACTACATGTATTAGATTGGAGTACCGTGTACAAAATTTGCATGAATTTAATGAATTAACATATTTTGAATTTCAAATCAAACGCTATCAACATGTATCTTTTGACTATTGTTCCTATCTTTTGAGTTGGTTGAACGTTTTGGAATACCCGTTTTACAGATAATAGTGGATACGTCCCAAAAGTCGTAACTACAATCCCTTCCCCTTTTCCCCGAATGTAACCTACCGATTTAGACGTATTACCGGGTTTGTACTAACATAAGTAACGCGACGGGTCCCACAGGTGGAGCAAGATCTGCTTACCTTTCCGGACCACCTGAGATCACCCCTAGATTTTGGTGGAGTTCATGTTGCTCAGTCTTTAGTTTTTTATGTTATGTTTTGTGTACTATTGTTTGTCTGTTAGTCTTTTTCTTTCTAGCCATGGCGTTGTCAGTTTATTTTCGACTTATGAGTTTGAATTTCCCTTTCGTATCTTTCGCCTCTCTTTTGCTAAGTAAAATATTACAATTCAAGTTTGCGTGTGAGTACCTCACTGGATCCTAGCTTTTTATGATACTGTTGAAATACTCTGCATTATGGGTGCCAGTTATCAGTCATTATATTTCAGTATTATAAAAAAAAAGCAAGGATATGGGTGTTCATCCATGACACAAAATCAGTATGTTCATAGCAAAAGACACAAAAAGCAAAGGAACAGCGCTTTTATTGCTGTTCCTTATCTTAATGTATTCAAGTCACAGTGAGGCTTTTAACACAGTGCAAAAAAACCTCTAAACTCACTGCAAGTTTAAGACGGCCCCTAGCACCGGTTTGAGTGAAACTCTTTGCAAACTAACGATCACGCCACATCGGTGAATTGAAAAACAAAGCAATGGAGTAATATCTTTGAAATCAATCTGGCAAAGAAAACAAACATGTTTATTTATAGTTCAAAGGAATTTTAGTCTCTCAAATGAAAGAAAAGAAAAGTAAGAAGATACAAGAGCGACAATGAAAGTAATAACCCATTAAAAGACATTTATTTTCATTAAACTCGAGATATTTTTACAGTAAATGAAGGATTTACCTCCCCTTTTATATATTTAGTAGTTCTTTTCTAAAATACGCAATGTTGTGTGTGTCATTTCTCCCCTTTTTCTCCTTTGAAGGTATACACAGAAGCAGGAACAACAGCCAATAAGTTTCTTACAGACGAATGTATCGATGAAGTCCACAATAACATTGAACCTGATCTGTCCGATGGAAAGTATTACGAAATATTAAAAGAAATGACCAAACAGTACAAGTAAGCACGTTGATATTGCTATTGCATCTTTCAAAGAACAAGAAGAGTTGTTTTCCTTTTGAATGGCTGTTTTGTTTATAATTTCTTTAGCAAATTTTGACATATTTTTTTTCAAATTGTGATACAAGGGACGATATCCTGTGTTACCCCGGATAATTGGAATTAACGAAAAGACGTGTGTAAAATCAGATTGATGGAAAAAAAACTATAACTGAAGCCTACGAATCCCTCGTATGATATTTTTTGTAAGAATGTATGAATATGTTAGGATCTTTTAATCCTTGAAAATAGTTGAAAGAAAACTACTTCTTAAAATCAGCTAAACGTTTGAATCACATAATATTAGTTAAAAGAGAAAAAAATTGACAAGCTTCTCAATGATCAAAATTGATGTTTGTCGAACTGCTTTATATCCAAAGAAATTATTCCTGTGAATTGTATGGTTCAAATTTCTTGAATTTTTCATATTTTTGTCAGCAGGTCAAACTAAACTTTTTGTCAAAATTTTATGAACATTAAAGGACCCAAATTTATTTAAGTCAAAGTGTTGGGTAGCCCCTTAATAAAAAGGGATACATTAATTAATAATACGTCCTCCTCGCATCATAAAAAAAGTGAAATTACACATGAGTAATGGCTGAACTTTTTGACTTTCATTCATGAATTTACCAAATTAACTTCAGTTTGGTATTTAACATGCAAACGTTGCCTTGATTTTCGACAATCAAGAATGTTATCATTGACAAAGAGAGGCAAAAGATACCAAAGGGACATTCAAACTCATAAGTCGAAAATAAACCGACAACGCCATGGCTAAAAAAGAAAAAGACCAGCAGACAAACAACAGTACACAAAACACAATATAGAAAACTTAAGACTGGGCAACACGAACCCCACTTAAAAGTTACATGATCTTAATTCATTAGCTACAGTTATTTTATACACTCATAGATTCACTAAGCATAACTTGGATTATTTAATATAATTTAAAATGTTGTGTTTTTCTTTATTTTAAGAATTATATTATCAGTAGGAAACTGTGACTACATTTCTGAAAAGAGGAAAATGACAATTGCGGCTTTTACAGTTGGAGCTGTGTTTGGTACGATCGTTCTCACATTTTCTATATGCGCATTAATTCGTAGCCGGAAACAATGGCTCTGTCAAAAACAATTGTATGATGAGGAAATTGACAAAAAAGATGTCCGAACTAGTCGACCATCATATCATAGCAACAGTTCGTTCGATGGAGTCGGTGGCGAGGACAATTTTTGTAATATTGACAAAGACAATAGTGGGGGAATTAAAGACAGTTGCTGAATATATTTAATTCAATGATCAACATAATTTATGATGAGAAATAAAAGGATGTTTGTATATTTCTTTTGATTCAATCTTTTTTCAAACACACGTAAATGTCTGTTAAATATTATTAATTTAGACCATGTTTAATATAAAGTAAGGAGACGTTTGTTTGCATTCAAATGAGACAACTATTCATTAAAGACTTAAGACCAAATATAAAATATCAATTACAGCTCATTATGCGGTCTTCTTCAACAATGAGCAAAATCCATACCGTTTAGCATGTTAAAACGTGTTAGCGAGCGAGCAATCATCCCGTGCCAGTGGTAAAAGAATATACAAGTTTAATCAATATTATAATAAAAAAAGAAGATGTGGTATGATTTTCAACGAAGCAACTATCCACCAGAGACCAAGTGAATAAGATGGAAGCAACTATAGGGCACCGTACGGCCTTCTAAAATGAGCAAAACCCATGCCGTATAGTCCATTATAAATGACCTTGACATGTCATATTAATTGTAAAACAACTCAAACAAGAAAACTAACGGCCTGATTTATGACTAAAACGATAACGAAAAAAAAAAAATATGAACGACAGCAAAGAAGACAACCACTGAATTACCTGCTCCTGACTTGGGACAGACACATATAAAATGTGGCGTCGTTAAAAATATTTTGGAGCACTCAACCCTACCCTAATTTGGAAGGGTTGCGCTAGTGCATTCAACATTCATCACTGAAAAATATACAATTTGTTATTTCTCCAGCGATTTTGCTGAAAACATGAAGGAACTACACAAATGATAATTAATCAAAGTCATATTGTCAACACATCACAATATTCAAATTACGTGTAGCAAAGTCTGAAAACGTTAGGCTACATACAGACAACCGTTCAAACACTTCATCATTTATAAATTATTTTGTTTCTCAAAATATCTCAATAATGTGTACTTACAAATAATGAAAACTAGGCATGCACAGTCAGTTACTGTTATTCTTGCAATGAACCAAGTTTAGTCAATTAGTACATAAGTTTACGAATGTGAAATAAAATGTCAAAAGTTCTAATCACCCCGGAATTGAGTCTTTTCTTCGTTGCGTATACTCTGAGAAGTTTCAGTACGCAATACAAAAAAAATGTAAAACAACAACAAACAAACAAATCAAAACAAATAAACAAACAGTACAAAATGTATAAAGAGTATGTCCATTTTCTCTGAACCTGTATACATTTAGGGGCCAGCTAAAGCCGCCTCCGGGTGCGAGATTTTCTCGCTGTGTTGAAAACCCATAGGTGGCCTTGAGCTGTTTTCTGCTATTTGGTCGAGTTGTTGTCTCTTTGACACATTCCCAGTTTCCATTCTCAATTTTATATATAGCTGTTCAATATCTCACCCGTATCAACCCGAGATACCAATATAACGACAAGAGCTGGAGGAAATATATTGGTTGGGGATTAATAACATAGATGCCAACCATTACGATTTTACCGTAATTGTTACGATTTTTGGACCCAAATTACGGTGTTACGATGAACAGTCTGTTTGTTACGGATTTACATTCATTACCTGTCCAGAACAGTTCTCCGTTTATAAATCATTTTTGACAATTGAGACGCTTAAAAAGGATGACTGGGGAATACAAATATGGTCACCACTGGTCTTCCTCCGACCGGTAGTAGAACCCTCGCCGAAGTGGGGCGTCCGTTTGGCTGTGCGGGATGTATCAAGTACGCAGCCACGTCCAGACAGAATGAAGACGTTAAATCTGATGCCTCGTGTGGAGAGAGTGCAACGCTCTTTGAACGTTAAGAACCCTTGCAACAACTCTTTGAGGGGTCCGTAGGTGGCCTTTTGCAATGCTAAATTTCTGTCCCTATTCAATATACCCTCATTTACCCGCGGTAGTCCAAATTTTCCCGACCTTCATCCCGGACAACCTCTTTTGTAATACCTACCTATTGAATTTATTGTTAACTTCTCTCGTTTTGAACAAGCATGAAATATTTGCCATTGGACATTAAGCAACCAACAATTTATCGGGACTACCAGTAAAAAATGATTCACTAATTTTGAATAATTAATGAACGAAACAAGTCTTTGTTTTTAATTTTACAATGTCTGGTGTTACAATTTAAATTTCTGAAACAAAGAAAGAAAACTAGAAAGTTGGACCATTATGCCTTTTGTATATATTATGAAAAATATTTCCATTTAACGCGATGGTCATTTGCTAATCAACTTTGAATCGTAGTTCTGACATATAAAGGAAATCATTTTGTCACTGAATGCCACCCAAAAGGATGACTAAGGAATACAAATATGGTCACTACAGGTTTTCTTCCATAAGCTGTAATACTCTTGCCAAATTGGGTGTCCGTTTGGCTGTGGTGGATGTACAAGTACGCAGCCACGTCCGGTCGGAATGGGGACGTTAATTCATATGCCTCTTGAAAAAAGAGTGCTACATACTCCACGTTAAGAAACGTTGAAACAACTCTTTGATAGGACCGTAGGTGGCCTGTTGTAATGCTAAATGTCTGTCCCATATCCCATATACCCTCATTTTCCAGTGGCAGTGTAAATTTTCCCGACCCTCATCCGGACAACTTCTATTAAAGAACCTACATTTTGAATTTATTGTTCTCTTCCTGAATATTCATAAAATATTTGCCACTGGACGTATGGCGATCAATAATCAATCATATCACTGTGTGCCAAGTTGTTCATATGATTATTATAAAATTTTACGTTAATATTACTGAAAAAAGACACAAATTACGGAAATGTGCATGCCTTTTTACTGATTGCACTCAAAGGGGGTTGGCATCTATGTAATAAGTGTATGATATTGAAACAGTCGTATCATATTTTGGGTCCTAAGTGCTCTTCAACTCTGTACTTTATTTTGCCTTTTAACTTGTATGATTCAAGGGCCACTGGTGAGTCTTGTGTAGACTAAAAGAGCGTCCGGCGTCCAAAATTATAAGCATTGTATCTTTTGGGGTCCTCAATACTCTTCAACCTCAAACTTTATTTGGCCTTTTAACTTTTTTGATTCGACCGTCAATGATGATTCTTTTGTAGACGAAACACGCGTATGGCGTGCAAAATTATAAGCCTGGCATCTTTGATGATTTTTTTTATATACTTTATTATATACATGTACCTCAAATAGATGTTTTCTTTTCGAGTGATGTGACAGATTTAAAAGGGTTTGAAAAAAACCTTTGTAACCGTGACTGACATCGATGACATGACGTCATACAGTTTATGGGATTGAAAAAGCCTTAGAAACAGTAACTGATTAACCATATGTGGATTCTAAAAAAACTCTAAAGAACTTCTTGATAATTTAAATCTCGATCTTTCTCTGAAATTAATTCTATGAAAACTTTTGATTTTTCAACCCTGTATAACACAATGTTGACTGCTGTTACAGTACCTTAATTTTTGACGTTTTAACTTTTTATGTCTGTTTGTTTTGTTCACACATTGTGGTCGATATAATGGAATTTCGTGCGACTGTCAAAAATGTGAGAGTTTTAGCTAGGTATACAATCAGGTTTAATCCATCATTTTCTACATAAGGAAATGCCTGTACCAAGTCAGGAATATGACGGTTGTTTTCCATTTGATAAAGGACTTTCCGTTTTCAATTTTCCCTGGAGTTCGTTTTTCTTTTGGTATTTTACTTTTTAATTATATTTACTACTAAGTACCTAATGAATAATGATAATGGTTCTGATTAGTTTTTGTTTTCTTTTTTGATGCCTCGTAATTTTTTATTTTTTTGGTGTACCAAATTGTTAGTGTTCCGAAAGTACGTGTATTCGATGCAGGTTATTCCGGTACCATAATTATGTATTACTAATTTTATTTCATTTCGTTGATCAAGTTGACGCTTCTGTACTTTTACTTTCAGCAGTAGTTAACATTTGCGTTCGAATGCCTGTGAGGTTTTATCAATTTTGCACTCATGAACTAGTTTGTAAAATTTGGTATGTTTGATATGTTGTACCAAAATGATCTTCAACAGGGATGCATTCCTCTGAATAAAAATTAATGTAGATTTTATGAATCTGTTTTTAATTGCTGAAATATATTACTATATAATCTAATCTTCAACTCTCGGATTTAGCCTCGGGAAATACTAATGCAAGGAATTGACCATACCTCTTTTAAATCGATTACTCACTTGTAAACACAATTGTAACTTTTCTTTTTCTTTCCATCGTACTTTCCAATTCGGTATTATATTTTAGTAACGTCATACAAGGCAGAATTCCCACTTAATTTATCACAAATTAGTAATGTATTTTTGTGTTTGTCATAACAAATGAAATGTGGTTGACTTAAACCGTTACCTTCTGACAGTAATGTATATCTGTGTTTGTCATAACAAAATGCATGTGGTTGACTTAAACCGTTACCGTCTGACAGTAATGCATTACAACCTTTGTCGCCATTGCCTACAGGTGGAACGGTAGTATTTACATTCCGGAATTTAGGTTGTTCCTTTATGTACCCTACTTAAGTCAATGTATCTTAACGGTGAGATTGGATAAAAGACCTAAAAGCACTAGTAGTCAAAGGTTTATAAAGATAGCAAAACAAGTTAACGGTCATCATACATATTCAAATTAATTTCTGAATATCTATACTATTAAATGAGAAGACCTCATTTTGTGTGTCGCTTCTCTGACTTCCTTCCACAATAAATTAATCATTATGCGTCTGTGTCCTATAGGTACCTTGCATAGTCGCATTTGTCATCCTCGCTTATGATTATTCAGTTTGGGTTATTTTGGGAGGAAAACGAAAATAAAGGCGTCCGGATATTATTTCCGTCTTCGGACGGACTTTTAAGTCAAAGACAAGACTTCCGTTTAGGACTGTTTTAAAATTACACATAATTTCCATAAGTACTTGGGGATAGAACTATTATTTTGGCGCTTTTCTGTATACTATGATCATACTTATACTATACATAAAGTGTATTTGCTATTTACTATCAATTCCAAGTTTACTATCCACGGCGGTCACTGATATATTATATAGAGACTCTCTAT